ACCTTACATAGTTTTGATTACTTAGTCCGTTTACCACCCTAATATGCTACACAAGGCCTTGTTTTATTGATCAATGAACTTTATAACGGATGTTTTGTGATAGAGAAAGCGAATATAAATAATGTTCAACGGCTCGCCCAATGATAACTGAAAACATCGTTATTACCGATACGAAATGAAGGGGAAGCCACGAAAAGAAGGGGAAGTCATCTTGTGTTAAGAATTAATAGTTTTGAATTGTATTTCACAAATTTAGATGATAACCGTTCTTATTAGAGTTTAACTTAGAGACGTTTTTTGCTGTAGTACAATATGTATTGTATGTATTTAATGTCGTAATTTAACAACAACTGAATGGGCCTCTCTGTAGCTATGTTTTGCGGTGTATATTTCGTTATCTTCTTTTTAAGTTTCACATTCGCATTTAACTTATCGTTATACAAACTTTAATATACTTTTAATTTATTACAGATTATACAATTATGGTTGCGATCACCCATATAATCATAGAACATCACGCAAGTCAAAATGATGTAATTTTTTTGTTTTTAGGGTGGGTCAATCAAAAAAACAATGTTTTTGCTATTTTGACAATCATTCAACGATAAAATTTAATTAAGCTAATAACATATACGATAGTTTAATGACACAATATATACAGATGCATTTAACTGTAAAAAAATGTACGTAACGTACGTAAGTTGTACGTAAAGGTATTTCACAGCCACATATATATATATATATATACATAACCTAACTTATATACTTTTTTTTTTTTTTTAAACACTTATATAAAATATACACGCGACCGCAATTTGAATTTTCTGATAATAATGTATTTTACTAACTTCCATCTTCTACTATTCTACTATAATTTGTTTACCAATTCAAAGTTTTCGGTCCATTGCTATTTTCTACAATATTTCCGGTAATATTTCCACCAACATTTTCAACAATATTTTTAGTAATATTTTCGGCAATACTTGAATCTCTTTATTCACTAGATGAAGCTAAATTCTCACTACTTCCAACACCTCCCCCATTACCAATTTGTTCATTACCATCAAAGAAAAAGGCGTTGAATTCATCACCACCCATACAACCGTATAATTCTTGCATAATAATACCCAAATTTTCCAATTCTCTAATAACATCTTCCATAACCAAGACATAAGCGTAATAAACAATATAATGTTCATCATTACCTTCAATAACTCGTTGCCTAACCACAGGTAAATCTCGGATTTTCTTCAACAATTGTCTACGAGCTCTTTCTGCTGGTGGTAAATATGGTGGTAAAGGTGTTTTCAATCGTAGAGCTGCAGCAAGAACATAAAAATATAATAACACATTTCCCACTAATTCCCTTCTTTCTTCTGCAATGGGAACAATAAAATCCTTTCTAACTATGGAATACCATTCTTCTTTTGTTACAGCTATTCGCATTGATAACAATTTATCCAAAATATTCTGACATCCTATTAATATCTGACGATATGTGCTAACTGGAAATGGTCCTTTCATACGTGGCTCATTAGGTGTTTGCTCTAATAAACTACGTAATCTTAATAATGAAATTTGAAGGAATAATTCCATATCCATAAATTCTCTGGTAGAAATTGATAATCGATTTTTAATCATTACTGATACATGATTGGGATTTGATTCATCTTGAACTTCGGATTGTACTGAATAAATGGCCACTAATTTTTTATATAACCATCCCATGTTAACAAATAATTGACTTAAACCTTTTCGAAGTTCTACACGAGCTTCATATGGCCACCAATAACTTGTTACTAATACTCCCCAAACTACACCCGTACCTACTGCTATAAATCTATATAAAGCTATTTCATTAATTCCAGTGTTTTTAGAATTACGTATATTATACTTGTATAATGAAACCAAGTTATATGTTAATAAACCAAATCGACCGATACGGTTGTATTTCGTGTATAACATCAAGTGGAAACAAACCAAGGCAATCAAAAAACCAAATATGGAGAGGATGACTGGATCATCAGAAAATTGTAAATCAATTATCCATGCGAGAAAGCATCCTAATAATGTTCCTAAAATTCGATATACTCCCATAAGGTTTGTACCACCCACTGTTGGAACCATGACTACCATCATCTGAATTATTGAAATCATTATTAACGTTAATAAATTAATAACAACAATTATTTTCGCGAATGCATTAATTTCAATATCATTCGCGACAATCTTTAATTAATTAATAAACTTACCGTAATGCAAACCCATTCACCTCGATATTTAGTGTATATATGTCGTGTTGCTTCAATGAAAGCGGGACTTGCCAAAATAGCAGCGCTAACAGCTGCCTTGACCGCATATTTAACTTCAAATTGTCTAAACCAAGAGAATGATTGCCAAAGTTTGATTGCAATTTTTTGTGGAAGGGTTTTAGGTTTTGGTGTATGAATTGTATCAAAAAGGTTATGTGTATTTTCAGGAAATTTCTTTGCATTATCAGTATAAAAAGTATTTCGAGAAAACCAAGTAGAATATCTCCAAAATTGCCACCATTTCCTCCCTTCTCGTCTTTTTTGTTCACTTGCATCAATTCTTGAAATATTGTCAGTTAAATCAACTAAATAGGATAATTCTCTAGTAAATTCTTGTAAATTGAATACAAAAAAGTATATAAGGAATACTTCTTCGTTAGGTCTGTCATCGAAATAACTTTTTGCTGTCTTTTGCTTATAGAGTTTAGTGAGTGCACGAGATTGTGATTTTTCAAATAATTCTAACGCTGAATGAAGATTTTGTCTGAGTAATGTAAATGAAGGTTTTATATTGGTATATGATTTATCTGTTTCAACAAATTGTTCTTGAAGATGAAAAAGTGTTTGTTTACAAGTGTACGCAAGAGATTTCATGGGTGGGCCCACATGACGTATGAGTTCTAGTAGAACCTTTAAATTGCATGATTCTTCATTTTCACCTGGTTTATTATTGGAAGTTTTATCTTTATCCTTATCTTTAGAGTCCTTTATGATTTCCCATTGAAGCCCACAACAACTTCTTAAACCACCTAAATGTTGTGCTAATCGAGTTAAACTTTCTACAACTTCTTCATATAAATGAATCTTTTGTTGCATATTTCCATTATGTATCTCAAGTGACGCTTGTCTTAATATCTCACGAAGTGACGTAAAAGTCCCACGATATGATTCAATCGCAGATTGTACAGATTTATCCGTGTAATTTATATCATCAACTAAGAAAGTTTTTGTAAGGAGTTTTAATAGGAGACGAAATGAATCAAGAGTTTTACCAATTTCATTCCTTATTTTAAAGATAAATAGTTAGGGAATCATGAGTACTATATGTGACGGCTGATGCTGAAGTTTGGCTGATGTTGAAGCTAAAAAATCTGATTGGTTAGGGTTAGGGTGATCTGCAAAATTTAGCCAATCAGATTTTTTAGCTTCAACATCAGCCAAACTTCAGCATCAGCCGTAACACTATATGATAAAAAAAAAAAAAGAACAATTTAGCGTAAAATTAAATATTGCCTACCCTAATTGCTTGCTCGCACTGACAGGCCAAATTAACACAGAGACAAGAAAACTAATTAATACACCAATAAGGATAATTTTCGTAACTTGAAAAATCAAATCCATTTCAATTGTTCGTATATGTGGACCACCTTCTCTGGTTATAGATATAAAAATGATTATATTTGCCAAAGAACAAGCTAAAAAAAACATGAAATTTAACGTGAGAAAATTTAAGATAATCAGTAAAGATATTTTAAAAAAATCAATGAGGTAAACTTACCACTATTAAAAGATGCTTTATTAAATTTTGCTTTACTGAAAGCAACAATGAACATACTTCCTCCACACCAAAGTACGACCGACATGATATGCCCCAAAGTATTCATATTATGTTCATTGAACCATACTGCACATAACATACTACTAACACTAACACTCATGCCATAAATACCGCCTATAATTGCATAGAAAACAGCTTCGTATATCCCACCGAATGATTTTGCTGGATCAAAAAACACCGAAACTGTTGCCACAAGATGTGTATTATATGATTGAGCAAAACCGCAAAATTCGTTTATATACGGGACATATGTGAATAATGACGCAAGAAAATAAGCCAATGCACATTTAATGATATTTTTATGTTTTAGAGTTAATAAGTTGGTTTGCATCCAATATTTGGCTCGGTGAAAGTATGATAAGAAAGAATTCGTGTAACCATGTTGGTTAACCGTATCGACACGTTCTGAATCAGAGTCCGAATTGTAACCATTAAGTAATGGTGTATTTTCCTCCAAAAAAAGATTTTGTCTAATTATTTAAATTTTGAATATTAATATAATCATTCTTAAAACTCACACATAAACTTATGACATTTTTTTGGAAACAAACCTTGAAGGTTCAGAGCTTAAAGAAATTCTCCTTCTTTGTAATGAACCATCATCCATGATAACACTGGATATGCTAACACCGGATATGCTAACACCATCGTCATAATTTGGAGACGTTAATGCAATAGGATCTTCAAAACTTTCATCATAAGTAGGCGATAAATTATCATGATAATATCTTAAAGCATTCCAAGGAACTCTTTCACTGGAAAAGGAAGCTGAATAAGAACCAGGCGTGGTTGAATATTTACTATGACTACGTGCAGTTCTACGAGGATTCGGTAAAGTATTTGAATGTGATGGTAATCGTAAAGAAAAACTTGCACCCCTCCGTGAAGATAAAGAGTCAGTAGGTGAAGTAATATGACTTTTGCTTAATTCACTTTCATCATGTGGACTCTCTTGCCCAAAAGTTTGAGAGTGTTCGATTAATGATCCATAATTTCTATGTAATATTTGTTCTGGTGAAAAACTATCGGGTATGATATCTAAAGTTATTATTTAAGATAAGAATAAAAATATAGAACAATTAACGTGTATGTACCTAACACTACGACCTGATGGACCATTTATTGATGTATTTGCGCTCGTTTCGAGCCGATTTTTTCCAGTATTTACCGGTGTTTGTGGTTTACTCATTATAAGTTAATGCGAAAAGAGCATTAAGAAAATTCAGGGATGACAAAAGTGTTGAATAAATAAAATTTTCTAGTATGACCAAATTAAGACGTTGCATTGAATCTAACCGATCATGATGTAATCAAATCACAAAATCGTTCATGATGCTCATGTCGTACAATTTAATTAGGCATTTGTAAGTTGTCACAATGAATCGCCGCCCCTTACACATTTAGATTAGGTTATGCTACAAATAATAGATCACGATTATTACGATTGTTTTTTCTTATCAATTTGTAATAGTTTCCCTTATCATTATTGTTTCAAACTATTTTTGTTATTATTTTGTGTATGCTACGTGTTTAATTTTCTGTCTTCGAAATGTTAGCAAGTAATAAATGGTCAAACGTCAAGAATGTTCATATAAACAATACCTAAACTTTAAACAATCTATATATTGTTGTAGTACACCCTCTCAAATCCGATATTCATGGTGGACAACTTTTGAGAGTTTATCGGATTTAAGATACTAATGGCATCTTTCCCCGGATCACCAACAAAAATTTTACCATCACGTGAAATGCGAAACATTTTTCACGTTAGTTTATGTTAGGTTAGAGCAGAGTTCTTACCGTACAATCGTTCAAGAAAAACTTTTTTGTTAATGCGCAGATGGTGGTTTCCTATGCAGATTTTGAGTTATAAGCGATTTTTGACAAAACGAACGTTTGTCTTAAAATTTTCTGATCGCGTAACGTTAAACCACATTATTCGTTATTGCAGTATTGGATTATTTTCGTCGATCATCATGTGATGGTAAAAATTACATAAAGTACTGGACAATAAAACGCATCCGCTATTTACTAGTTAACTATAACTTTTTTAAAAAAACTAAATCAGAAAATCATAGATTTTTAGCTAAACTACATTTTTATCAGAGGGTTTTTTCTTATTAAAAAAAGTTAGTTTAAAAATTGGCGTTTAATATAAAAAAAGATATATATTTAATTAACCAATCATAACCAGTTACACCAAAATTAGTCAATCAATATTGATTATATAAACATCAAAAATTGGCGCTCTATATATAGTATTGTAGTAATTTTGTTGGCGATCCTGGGGTAGTTTACAAACTTACACGCTCACGTGATATACGATAAAATCTTTAAAGTTTATGTAGAATTAGGGTTAGTACGAAGGTTAGAATTTAGTGGTCAATATAGTAAAATTGCTCGAGGAAATTTTTTGTTAGAGCGCAGTAGGTAGTTTCTTATGCTAATTTTCGGAAAACAAGCAATTTTTTCTAATTTTCTCAAAAACGAACGTTTGAATTTTCCAGATCGTGTTACGTTACATCAAATTACGATCATCTATTGGATAATTTCTGTAGATCTTCACGTGAGCGTGAAAATTTTGGTGGCGATCCTGTCCAGGATTATGCGAATTATGCAAATTTTGAGTTATTAGCCAATAAAATTTCACATGTTGCATGAAAGTGAGCGGATTATGCGATTTCATGTAGTAAAAATCGCAAATTATGCGCGGATCATAATCCTGGACACTATCCTGGGGTTAGGGATAGCGATAGCACAATCTGCGCATAAATCTGATTTTATCGCAGAAGCATATGCGATAACATATTCGCATATTTTGACTAATTTAGCATAATTAACAGAGCATAATCTGCGCATAAAATGGTTGGCATTAATGAGAGCACGAAACATTTTAGAATAATAGACAGTCAACGAACACGAACACAAAATACGAGCAAACAGCGACCGTTCAAATATCTCTTTTAAAAGCTCGGTAGCATAACTTTCTATGAAGCAAGAATAAATTTAACGGATGAATCAATGTTTTTGCTTCACCTTATAACATATTCTTTGAATCCTCGTGAATCCCACAACTTTGCTGATTAGCCGATTTGCTAAAATTCGAAATATGATTGGTTGAAAATCACATGTAACTTTCCTGTTACACGAGCATGATTGTGATTTTACACTCTAATAATCGCATATTTCGCATATTTCTGCCTGATTCGCATAATTTGCGGCATAATTCTAAAAAATCGATAGCATAATTCGCATAAATCAAATTGTAAAGCAGGCAGAATTTGGGGTCTGTCGCAGCAGAAAATGAGGATCCCTACTTGGGGTAGTTACTAATGGCTCACTAGTCACATGATAAATAAATATAATTGGCTAGATTATATTTATTATACATATGTTGTAAGTTGGAAGGAGTTTAAGTGGATTTGGAAACTTTTATTTACATTGTTTTTTGTTTATACTAATCTAATCGAAACTTTGGATGGTATAAAATTATCGATCATGCAATCTGAACTTGATGTATATTTCTCACTGAAAATTTATTTAAATATTATCAACGCCCTCTGAATCTCAAATTTTTAATTTTAATTCAAACGATTTACCAAAAATCTAGATAAGTATATTATATATATCTTAGATAAGTACATCTAACAAATCCCAACTACTTACTACTTTGCCGATGATCAGGGGAAAAGGTTATTTAAATAGTGTTATGTTTAATGTTTTAAATTGATTACTTCAAAATGTATAATAAAAAATTCATAATATTAATAATTACCATTTAAAACTATGTGGGATCTTTTCTAAACATTACCCCAAGAAACTATGGCTTTCCTAGCAAAACCCATACCATGCTGATTTACCCACCATCTACTATACCTAATATATACCTAACTAATATCTGATGTTAAACGTTTATATTTCGCCCTTTTTGAATACACTATACAATCATTTTCATATCTCATTATTCTAGCAAATGTTAAGCCCGCAATAATTTGATCACATCTATCTTAATAAAAATGAAATCACGCCCACTGAAACATTTTATCTGTTGTTAATAACCAACTCTAAAAACTGAATTATAAATGTGTTAATAAGGCTGAGAAACAAAAAAAGACTGAATGGACATTAAATGTTATTTTAAGTACCTGCTCATAATTAATTAAAATCCAGCCATCATTATCTGTATCATAACGTCGGAAAGCATCTGTAAGGGTCTTGATAGTCACGCATGATTGCTACATAAAATGGATCATTTTTATTTAGGGCTTTCAATATTTATTTTAAATTTAAAGAATTTAATATATACGTACCACAAAATTATCAAAAGTTACATCCCCTCTTCCTATTGTTTTTGTGTACGCATTATATATATTAATAATCTCTTTGGATATTACTAATATAAAAACAGAAATACTAACTTACCATATTTATCATACTTTTTAAGAAGCAAGCTAACAAAATTATCGCTTAAATTATATCCAAATGTTTTTAGTGCAGTTTTAAGTTCTTGAAAATTAATAGTTCCTGATCCGTCAACATCAAATTTTTGAAAACATCTCTTCCAATCTTCAATGTATCGCCAAAGTCCAACAAATTCGGAGAAGTTTATCGTTCCACTGTTATCTTTAGTAATAATTAGCATAAATAAAATTACAAATCCATCAATTTTTAGGGAATATTAGTCATTTTTAGAATACAAACTATAGTAATAATGCAACTTTTTGAGTCGTTAAACATCAATGAGATTTGTTAATATTTACCGGTGTCAAACATATTCATCATTAATCGAACAGTTTCAAGGTTAAACGGACTCCAATCACCTATTAATTTGGAAGAATAAAATTAGCAAAGTTAGCAAAATCCATCGAAAATTTTTAGCATTGAAGCTGGTAAGGACCTAACACGGGTTGATTCAGATACTATTTACAGACCAACAGGTCAGCCAATCCGACTCATTTCAACACTGTGTTAAAGATTGTGCATACCATTAATCAAAGCCCTTTGTAATTCTTCTGTGGTCAAGGTTCCACTTTTGTCAGTGTCTACAGCTTGGAACCAGAAATATAATTGAGGATCGGCGCCAGGTGGAAGATATGGTTGACTACTCAGTGGAGACTGATCTAAAAAAAGAAAGAAAAAAAAAGATATAAATTAAGCTGTACAAAGTTGAGTCCTTGGCTTTCATAATATGAAAATGTCACAAAAACCCGGCCGGGCTATGAAAATAATTCCGTATGGACTTGGAATTATTGTAATTTTATTGAAAAGATTTAATACAAACTATATTGTGGGGTTGGTCCAGAAGTCGGTGGTTGAGAGCCCTGTCGTGGTGGTAATGGTGGGCCAGGCTTTGACGGTGATTGAGGCACATATCCGCCTTGTGAAGGTGGTTTACCGTATACCTGTTGATTATAATAAGACATTGAATTTAAGCACGTTTACAAACGGCCGGCTATTGAACTAGTTTATATATCAATATGTATATGTCGTGTATCGGGTTACGTAATTATGATCATATGTAAAATGCCTTATAAATTAGACAAGAACAAGACATTTAATTGCCAAATTTCCTCCTGACTGTTTACTTCATGTCATTTGATTTGTTTCGTATATTAGAAGCAAAGCACTGATTTTGTAAAAATTAGAAAATTCTAAATATTATTAACGCGTTTAAAAAAAATGTGTGTAATATATAAAATTAACCAATAACAATGTAATAAATTTTTTTCATGCAAACATAATGCTGTTTACAAAATTCAGAGTTACGTTAAGCAAACCTTACTATTGAGTGATATCTTGTGGGTTTAAATAGCGATAGCATTTTCTAATGTTCTTTAGCTCTATATTTTTTATAAATTATTACTATTAAAGAATTTAGAAAATTTTATTTTGTTTTTAATTCGTATTACTGTATTTTAGTATACCGTATATTATATTAAAGTATGCTATATAGTGGTGTTTATTACTATGTATATTTTTAACGTATAATAATTTTATTAATAAAATCTTAAGATTTTAGATACAGTCGTCCCTCATTAATATCAACCCCGTTAATATCAACCTAAGCTATAAAATGAATTTCTATATATCAAATTATATTAAAATTCCCTCATATATATCAACTTTAATATGTTCCCTCATTAATATCACTATCAACATGAATATAAAAGCGATCCAAATAGGTTGATATAAATGAGGGACGACTGTACTGTATTTTAGCATACCGTATATTATCATATTAAAGTATGCTAGTACTATGTATATTTTTAATGTATAATAATTTTATTAATATAATCTTGACTTAAGATTTTAGATTAGTAAAATAAAAATTAAAGCTAGAAAGAGGCTTTAAAAATAGTAAACCAAATTTTATGTAAGTATCAAATATACTGTATAATAAATATTAATTATAGTATTTGGCTAGTTTTTAAAATATAACAATTAGAAAAACAAATTTTTAATTTTGAAAGATGTAAATTGCTATTAAGGCAGATTACACTTGGGTTATAAGTTTAGATAAATTATTGTTAAGCTAGATCTACTATAAAACATATAGATATATTTAATATCAGTCAACTGATTTGTTATATATTTTATATATACAGTGTTTTATATATATAAAATTATAGCAAAAACATATAGAATTACATATAAACTTTGTTGTGATGATGTTCTTCATTTACATATTAACTTTAAATTAAATTTTATGAATAAATACATCAAGAAAAGGTGAAAAAAATGTGGTTTAAGTTGAATTAAAATTTTGCAATTTTGATACAATTTAAAAATATAACTTTATCAAAAGA